TAGGGCATAACACTTACACTTTCTCGACTTGCTAATGTACCTAGTTTGACTTTCTCGTTGTATGAGTTTTCTTTCTTCATGTTGTGCATAATGTTTTTTGAATCCATTTTCACATTGTTTTACCTAAATGAAGTTTAAAAATTAGTAACCAAATACTCAAGACCCTTTTCAGCACCAAGTTAGGGATATAATTGACAAGAAAGCTTATATAAAGAATTTCTTGCAGGGAATGTGCCCATTGACACTAGCAGTTTTCGTACCAGGACTATGACCTCCTCACTGCAATGACGTCAAGGTAATAGATTTTCCAAAGGTCACAACACTAGAATTGGGAGTCTTCTNTTCGTACCAGGACTAAGACCTCCTCCCTGCAATGACGTCAAGGTAATAGATTTTCCCAAGGTCACAACACTAGAATTGGGAGTCTTCTATACTGCTCTCTACATTTTAGCTATTGGGACATGTGGAACAAAGCCCAATATCTCGACCATCGGAGCGGATCAATTCAATGATTTTGATCCAAAGGAGAAGGCCCATAAACTTTCCTTCTTCAATAGGTGAATATATAGCATTTTCTTTGGGATACTTTTTGGCAGCACTGTTCTTGTTTACATTCAGGATGATGTGGGTTGGACCTTGAGCTATGGTATTCCAACTGTTGGACTTGCAATAGCTATTTTGGTTTTGGAAAAATTACCCAAAAGCCTGCATTTTAAGTATACATTTCAATTATCAAATCCTAAAACCTTTTGTTTTCATAATTAGGGGTTAATTCATCTTTTATTAATAATAATATTATAAAATTAAAATTTAATTCAAATATTCAATCCTAAATATCATTTCTAACCCTACATTCTCTTTCTCTCGAAGATCACTAGCTCCCCAGCTCACGAGAGTCCCTCGCCGGTAAGCCAGCCAAGGCCACCGAGTTTCCGGCTTCAAAGGATCTGGCCTCCGCCCTTGCTTAGATTATCAACCGCTCGCCGCCTCTGGCCCAGTCCCGGCTTCCGGTCTTGACCCGCCCCAAAATGATGGGTTAGCTGGAGGTCAACGGGCCGTGCAACCACTCTCACTGCTTTCGCCGCTTCCGGTTGTGCACGCATTGACGGAGTCCCCGATCTCCGCCTACATGCGATTCCTCCAGAGTTCAATCTCATCTTCTTCTGGTGCTTTGCCACGGTGGAATAGCTTCGCACAACCCCTAGCAGCAGCAGTCACCACCAGCATAATCTTTTGCTGCCTAGTTCGAGCTGGTTTTGGTGGTGGTGATTGTACCATAGGTAGAGGAGGTGGGAATTTAGATATTGGAGGTGGGGAGGAGATTGGTGGCGGAGGTGAGTATGGTGGTGGAAAAAACTAGTGGTGAAGGTGGAGTTGGTTTAGGACTTGGTGGCTGAGATTTTGGTAGTGGTGGTGTTGGCAGTAATGGTTCTGTTGGCGGCGACGGGGTGAGGTGGCACGAAATTTAATTGGTGTCGATGGTAGCTATGTGGGTGGGGTAAATCTGCAGTTGTGCTGATTTACATTTAGTACGAGAGACAATGATTTTAGGTATGGTACTGGTGATTTGACTCTGGAATAGAAGGTGGCAGCGATGATTTGGGTCTTTTCACCTGTTTTATTGTAGAGGTGGTGGTGGTGGATTTTTTAGGTGTGTTTGAAAGTGGAGGAGGAGGTGGCATAGTGACTGGTGGATAGTTCGAGTTTTGTGTTTTCTAAAATTGTTTGTGGTGCATCTGTTAATGGTGTTAAGTAGGGTGCAGCCTGATATCCATTACATACTGGAATTTGGAGAAGGTATAACTTGGGTTGTAGGAAGCCTTGACGGTACAAAATGTGCAGATT